GAGCTCAAACCCTATTGCTGTTGAGAAAAAGAAAAAAGTTATGTTAGGGACCCATGATGGTTTATGCCTGTATTCTACTTACTTGGAAAGAGGCGATCAGGAGGATCATGATTCAAAGTTATCCTGGACAAAAAGTTAGCAAAACTCTGACCTCAACAAAACAAGTTGGGCATGGTGGTTCAGGAATATAATCCCAGCTATGCAGGAGGCATGTATAGGAGGATTGTAGTTCAAGGCCTATCCCAGCAAACACACAAGACCTTATTCAAAAAATAAAGTAAAAAAAGGTTAGAAGTGTGGCTCAATTAGTAGAGCTACTCCTAGCAAGCATTAAGCTCTGAATTCAAACTCCAATTCCACTGGAAGAAAGGAGGAAAGGAGGAAGGGAGGGAGAGAAGAAAAGGGGGAAAGAAGGAGGAGGGAGAGGGGGAGGGAGGAAAGAAGGAAGGAAGGAAGGAAGAAAATTACAAGAAATTCTGGTGAAGATGCCTAAAAAAAGAACCCTTATGCACTGTTGGTAGGTACGTAAATTATTCCAGGCTCCTGTGGAAATCAGAATGAAGTTCCCTCAAGAAACTAAAAATAGAACTATCATATGCTACAGCTATAACACTCCTGGGCGTATATCCAAATGAATGTAACTCTGCATACAATAGAGGCACCTGCACACCCATGTTTATAGCAGCACTAGTCACAGCAGCCAAGCTATAGAATCAGCCTAACTGCCCATGAACAGAGGAATGGATAAAGTAAATGTGGTATATATTCACAATGGCTTATTATTCAGCCATAAAGAAGAATGAAATTGTGTTGTTTGTAAGTAAATGGAACTGGAGAACATTGTGTTAAGTAAAATAAGCCAGATTAAAAAAAAAACCAAAAAACAAGTATCAAATGTTCTCTTTCTCATGCAGAAACTAGACCTAAAAAACAACAAACAAAAAGAATGACATGAGTATTAAGCAGGGACTGTTTGGTGGGGACATTCAACAGGAGGGAAGAGGATGAAAGGAGAGGGAGATGGGGTGTTAAATATGATCAAAGCACTTTATGTGCAAATATGCAAAAAGAATAATGAAGTCCATTAAAACTGTTTTGAAAGGGGAAAGGAGGGATAAGAAAAAATAGAGGGGGTGAGTTTACTCAAAGTACACTATATGAATATATGGAAACATCACAATGAAACCCCTTTGTGAAATTAATACATGCTAATTTTAAAAAGAATATACAGCTCTCAATAAATTCTTTGTAGACAGGCATAGTGGCTCATGCCTGTAATTCCAGCTACCCAGGAGACTGAGGCAAAAAGGTCATGGTTTGAGGCCAGCCTGGGCAAAGTTAGAGATTCTATCTCAAAAACAAAATACAAACACAAGATTTGGGGCATGGCTTAAGTAGTAGAGCACTTGCCTAGTATGCATAAGGCCCTGGTCTTAATCCACAGGACCAAAAGTAAAATTATAATTAATTTTTTAATCCCCAGTACTACCAAAAATAAAAATTAGGAAAAGCCATCAGTTTTCATATAATAGCCTCCTGTGTTGGTGCATGCCTATAAACCCAGCATAAGGAGGCTAAGATAGGAGGACTGTGAGTTTGAGTCAAGCCTGAGCGATGTTGAAAGACTCTGCCTCTAAAAAAAAAAAAAGTATACAGTTGAGTCGTGTTTAAAGAAATGGTGTTGTAGCTTCTCCCCTTGGGAGGGAACTATGGGACCCTTAAGAACCATTGCTTAAGATTTGATACAGACACTACTGGAGACATCATCTCATCCTGACATTATGACCCCTTGTTGGTAAGCAGCTAGAAGCTGGGTAGGCATGTATAAAAGGTTATCAAAAAAGAGGGAAGCCACTGAAATAGTTGTACAGCTTCTAATCAGCATTATTATAAGGAGACCTGGGTACTTCTTTACGGCTATCCTCAGAAAAATAATAGAGGGGAAGTTATAGGACACCAAAGGGTAGTTACGATGAAAGATTACTTTCATAGACCCTAATAACTTCCCTTGTCTCACGAGTAGTCCCCATACCAACCAAAAAGGGAGACCACTTACTCTTTGAAATTTTGTCTTCCTTTTATTCTGGGCTCATTAAGAAAAAAGAAAATCCAAAACTTGAAAATAAGTCAAAAATGTTACTATGTTTTCAAATAGTCACACTAATGTACTGCCCAACAAACCTGCCCAAGTGCTACCTGATTCAGGTGGCCTGAGACCTCAGCCAAATCCAGTGCTGCAAGCCAAGAATGGTCTTTAGAATCTTAAGTGGCTAGGGAAAAGAATCAGAAGAATATTTTATCATACATAAAATTTATGTGGAATTCATATTTTAACGTCCATAAATAAAGTTGCATTGGAAAACATTTGGCTTACTCCATCAAGTATTGCCTATGGTTTTGAGCTGCATGACTTGCCAGCTCCTTTCTGAAGGGATGAAATTTGTTTCATTGCTTCTTATTGGTCAGGATTCAGGCTCTGTGGTGTTAGATGTTATTCTTTAGAAAAGTGATGTCACAAATTTTTCCCTCAGAGATGCAAATTGTATTTGTAGAAAAGAATTCCATAGTGTATCCATCAGATACACTTTTATTGCCTTGTAAAATAGAAAGCCAATTTTTCATCTTATTCTAGCATTCTCTCTCCTGCTCACTGTTTCAGCTTATTATATCTACTTTTGAGGCACCAGCTTTATCACCTTGATGGGTCCAAGTCTATCACTTACATACAAGGACTTCGTTTTTATTTGAATACTATATTTTTAACTTTCTGAAAATTTATTTTTATATACTCTTCTAAAATGGAATACTTTATTAAAAGAATCCTGTAGTAGTCATTGTAATTTCAAATCACTTATACCTGATCAGTATTTTTTTTTCCTACTGCACAATGAGGAAAAACTGCTGGAGGTCTGCTTGGAAGGTAGACTGATCTTTCCTGAACTGCATGTCCCCCCACACAAAGAACAAAACCATGCCTGACAAATTGTGGGTGGTGCCTGATTTCTTAGAAGAGGACAGAAATTTGCTTAGGTTTTTATCTAGAAAGACTAATTTCTTCCCAGAAATGGCCTACAAATCATATGACTTAGAAAACCAGACCAGACTAGGGACAATTTTATCTTCACAGACTTCACACACTGAAGAGCAAACGCTTGAGCTCTGACCTACAAATACAGTAGAAAGGTCTGGAAGTCCAGTCTGGTGTCATCCTCCTCCTACCCCCAAGCATGTAGCTCCTTCTCCATCTAGGATTAACTTATTTACATGTCTAAATTCTGGCAGAGACAGTGATGTGTAGAAACTGGACTTGCTGGTTACATCAAAAAAACAAACAAAACATAGCTTTCCTGGCACAACATATAATTCCTGTAATACAGGCTCACACCTGTAACCCCAGCTACTCAGAGGTAGAGATCAAGAGGATCAGGGGCTAAAACATGCGGCCCTGAATTCAAACTCCAGTTCCACCCAAGGAGAAGGAAAAGGAGGAGAAAGAAGTACTGTCAGCTTCCTGCTCTTTCAAAGGAGCATCAAATCTGCTTTTACTCCTTTTGTCATTTGTTTATGACCTAAAATAGCCAGTGGCAGAATAAAGAATTCTTGGGAGGAGCAGCTCGGAAGGATCGCGGTTTGAAGGCTAGTCCTGGGCAAAAAGTTAATAAGACCCTACCTCAACCAACAAGCTTGGTGTGGTGGGTCGCTGATGCTCCGGAGGCCTTAAATAGGAGGATCACATGATCCAAGGCCAGTTCCGGAAAAAATGCAAGGCCTTATCTAAAAATTAACTGAAGCAAAAAGCAAAAAAATGTATGGCTCAAGTGGTAGAGCACCTGCTTAGCAAGTGTGGGACCCTGAGTTCAAACCCCAGTATGGAGGGAGGAAGGAAGGAAGGAAGGAAAAGGAACTTTACATTATGAGAAAACTTAGACCTAAAGCAAATCATGAGAAAGCAGGAGTCTATACTGTTCAAGGAAACCGGTTATATTGATCAGCCCAGGCAGGCTAACTAAGACAGTGATATTTTGAATGAAATTGTACTTGTCTTGTTTCTGCGTTTTGCTGTTGTAGGGAAAAGGACAGTAGTTCTTTGCTTGCTCCCATCTACCCTCAACATAATCTGCGACATTTCTGTATCTCGGAGACAACCCCTAAGATCGCTGCCCCCCGCTTCCCCCTCACACACCCGTTTTGTTTGGAAGGGTTTACTCCATCAAAGGAGGCTGTACTGAATTATCCCGGAGTTAAGGGACAAGCTGATGACTGTCTGGTGTTGAGTGATGGAGCCAGGGGTCTGGAATCTGAATCTAAGTGAACTGGGGCCGCCTTTGGTTGGTAGGAGCCAGAGTGGGCGGTGGCCAGGGTGCCCTCTTAAAAGTCTCCCCTCAATCTGAAGAGGAGCAAACCCGTGTAAATCAGAACGGTTAATTCCATGGTCCGCTGCTCTGATTATTTCTCCTTTATCATCCACGTGTCTGGGGTCAACCCCAACCCTGCAACAGAGCAAAGCCGCCCGGAGGAAGCGCAAACCTCATCCCCGCCCCCGCCCCAGCCGAGCCGCGGAAGGGGATCCCCACAACCTGCCGCCTCAGACTCGCCTCTGGCGAGAACTTCTGGGGCGCAGTCGGCCTAAATTGTGCAGCTGAGGCCACCGAGAGCACCTAATACCCGGCCAGGCTGGGAATCCTGCTTTTCCGTCCGGGGCTTTGATGAAAGTTAATAGGCTAATTAAAGTGCAAAACCAGAATCTAGCAAAATAGGAGCGCCCCATGAATGCTCTCCGTTATTATCACTCGCAGGAGCCCGTTATAACGCGGGATGCAAAAAGAAACCGGGAGAACCGGAAAGGTCTGCAAAAGGGGCGGGACGCGGGAATCTGGATTTGAGGAGGGGGTGGCGGGGAGCCCCACGCAAACAGCCAATCCAGCCGTCCCGGGGAGGAAGAGGCGGAGCCAGGGCCGGCCCCTGGACTCCGCACTGCTCACTCCCGCGCCAATCGCCGGCCCAGTGAGCTCGGCCCCGCAGCTTCCTCCTAGTTCAGACATGGCTTTGAGCGCCGCGGGCACGGCCGTGAAGGTGAGATCAGCGCTCCCAGGGCTGCGGGTCCGCCCCGCACGTTACCCTCTCGCCGCCGCCCACCCTGGGGACTGCGCCTTGGGGTCGTGCGCCCTGCCCGTGCTCCCCTATCCGGCGAGGCAGTGGAGAGACGGGCGCGCGGCACTCCCCGCAGAGTGCCAGCAGACCTGCCCCAACCTTTGTGGTGCACCCGCTCCCCTAGCGCGTTAGGAAGGGTTGGTGAGGGGCAGTAAGTGGTCGGGAACTGCGCCAGTGCTGCTACCCCTTTCTAGTACCACTTCTTTCAAGGGAGATGCTCCTGGCTGCTGTCAGCGGGAGGCCCAGGTGGTCCGGCGCCTGCAGCTGCTGCAACTGTCCCCCTCATGCCTTGTGGGACTGGCGCTTCCGCTCTCTTGGCTCAACCCACGTGGGAGCAGTGCGTACTTGCTCTTTTGCAAGCTTCCGGCTTCTTTTTCCTGCAAACTTAGATTTCTCCTCCTTGCTGAGGTTTTTCCCTGCTACGCAATGCTGAGGGACTTCTGAGACTTTTTTTTTTTTTTTGGTAAGTATGGAAAAGGAGTACAGGCGTCCCTGCAAAAGGGCCGCTCCCAGTTTGGAGGCCTCTAACTTGAAACTGCCTTGTTTGCAGTCTTGAAAGTTAAAGAGCTCGGTTTTCTTGGGCCTTGAACCCTCAGAGGTCTCGGAGGCACAAGGGATCATTGTGCGTTGGGAATGTCTGGCCAGAGCAGGTTATGAGTTCTGAGAGTTGCAGTGAGCTTCCCTGGGGGTTTTAAACATTTCTGTCCTGGTTGGTGGAGAGATTAGAATTACATTACACAGGAAAAACTGATGATAAAACTTAAAACCTTTTCTAGGCTGTTTTTATTGGCCAAGATCGTAGTTAACTTGGTTCACTTTTAGAAATTTCCGGCCCATGGGACAGAAGGACCGCGGTCTTCTCCAAGCATCTCTTGATTCCCTGCACCTGTGTGCAGTTTTCCTGTGAGCAGGCAAATATCTGTAGTACGCAGTAGGGGTTAGCATGAGCCACTTACAGTGACAGGAAGGGGTGAGGGTGCTGCAGTCAGACTTAGATGTGGAACTTCTTTTGCCATTTTGAAAAGAATATTTCAGGGAGAACAAGGCAGAAAGGGTTTTCATGAAAAGTATATGCGTTCCCTTAAAGTGGGGATTTTACTGCAGAATTTCCTGGGAAGGTTAGAATTGTATGGTCAGTGTTGCACATAGGTATAGCTTATTATGGTAGTGGTTATAAGGAGGGGAACTTCTATAAGTAGCTTCCCCTATAAGTAGGGGAAATTAACTTTGAATTTTCTTTTCTCCAACAATTAAAGTGTTATACTTGGTATCATTATGCTACAGCTTTTCTCCTTTCTCTTACAGGAATGCATTAAATTGCCTTCAAAAATAGGAATGGTATTTAAACAATCTCACTTTAATCTGATTAGCAGTCTTCCTGACACACAGTCTCCCTGTAAAATTAATGCAATGCATTTAAGAGCAGAGTGGACAATGTGATTTAAGCCCTGGTGTAAATATTGAATGATGTATATTTCTGGTCTTGGCAAGCTTCTGAATATAAAATTAAGAGGTACAAATGGTGCTAAGACTGCCTGCTGATTTCTTTCTTTGAGGCTAGACCTTTGCTTTTGATGCTAATACTGTATCCCCAGACTGCTAAGAAAACATCCTATATAGAAGATACAAGATGTCAGTGTCCAGAGCAAACTAGGTTAATAGAAAACCATACGTCATCCTTATGTCATAGAACGGTAGAGGTGACTCATTCATTCAAGACCATATAACCACACAAACCCCTTTCTGCAGATGTAAAGCTAGACCCTGAAAGGTCAACTAAAGTGTCCTGTGTTATAAAAAGCAAGGTTCAGATGACAGAATGGGCCTAGAGCTTGGCATTCCACCAATGAGTTGTGAGGCATTTCTGAAATCTAAAATGTGATCTCTATGCCATTTTATTGTGTGGGTATGAAGCCATCCGTCCTTAGAGAAGAGAGAGTGGAATTGCATGGATAAAGCAGGCTACCTACCCAGACCCACTGGACACTGTCCAGTTACATGGGTGTAGAAAGCACATTTGTGTGTCTGAGCTCCAAGGTGGTGTTTGACCTAACTCAACTGCACCATTTCATCTGTGCATTTAGAAGCAATAGTTTGGTTGGAGATGTTGGGGGTAGAGGTGCTGTAGCTGAGATCAGTGTGGTGAGGTGAAGAAGGAGCTGTGGGAGATAAGAGGCCCAGGCTCCTGTCCCAGCATTACCACTTGTCAGCAACTTACCTACCCCCTGAGCCTGAAGATCCTCTGCTGTATAAGATGAGCACTGGTCACACCTACTTTGGGAACTTTTGGGATTTAGATACAGTAACCTGTCACACACAGAGCTCAGTCCTAGACACTTCATTAATGCCAACCCTACTACCTTCCTTGATATAATACAATTATTAGCAAGGTTGGAACTGAAACTCTAACCTCCTCAGTTTAAGAGGAGATCAATTACATTGGTTAGGTGAAAAACATTGAGTTTTGGCTTAGCAGTATAGTATTTGGTATATCATTCAAATCTGGCTTTCTACTAGCAGAATCCTATTCAAAAATATTTGTTGAGTACCTGCTGTATACGAATGATGCATCTTTGAGTAAGACAAGGTCCCTATCAAGTTTATCTTCTAGTGAGGGTGGAAGACCAACCATCATGAGAGTGAAACAATGAGAGTCGTAGGGGTCAGAAAAGGACCCTAGTGAGTTGAGTTTTAAGCTGTGTTGAAAGCGAATCACCAATGTGGTGGTATTAGGAGGGATGGAGTCCTTTGGAGGGTGATTAGGTCATGAGGATAGAGCCTTCATGAATGGAAGTAGTGCCCTTAATAAAGATGCTCCAGACATCTTTATTGTCCCTTTCCATGAGAAGGCATCATCTATGGACCAAAGAGCAGGCTCTCCCAGACACTGCATTTGCCTTGATCTTGGACTTATTGGCCTGCTGATTGTGAGAAATAAATAAATTTCTGTTGTTTATAAGTCTGTTATTTTGTTACAGCCACTTGAGCAGCTTCAAGGCAACCTGATAGCTGAAATGAGGATAAAAAAAAAAAAAAAAACCTGAGGCAAGATCATAGTCAAGATAGCTAGCACCAAGGTTTGAGCAAGAAGTGAGCTGATGTCCTAGGAATATCAGTGCTGGTATATGGTGAGAATTAGGTGGGTACAGCTGATGGATCCTCAAGTAAAAACCATTGTAAAGAATTTGCATTTGGTTCAAAATCTTTTGGAAGCTATTAAAGGGTTCTAAACTGAGGTAGTGTCTGACTTACATTTTTAAGTGATTGTTTGGCTGCTGAACATAGAATCGCCTGCCAGGGGAAGGCTAAGTTTGGGCAGAAGCCATGGCACTGGTGCCCAAGGCTCGGCTGGTAGCTCTAGAGGTAGTGAAAATCTGCAGGAAGGAGTGGAGGACAAAGGAGAGGATGGTTTCTGTGTCTGATCTGTGGACCCCAAGAGACAGTAGTGATGAATCATTTCCAAATAGGAGCTAAGGAACCATGAGTGACTCTTTGGAGTGAAGAGTATAAATACAGGATTCCTATGCTGAAAGAACTCTGTACTATAGTAATGGAATGGATGCAGAGTAGGTGGTAGATTGAGGAGGGTGCAGCCACCTAGAGTAAGAGTAATTGAGACAGTCATGGTTCACTTCAGGTAGAAGTGGTTGGGGTGGGGGTAAAGATATCACATGTTGGGTAGCCATGGATGGAGGTGGCTGGAATCAGAGGCCATAGATCAACACCTAACATTGTTAACATGGCATTGTCCGGGAGGACCTCAGGGAGATATAGTCCTCCAGTTATCCATGGGAGGGTGACATGTGTGACGATGCAGAAGGCTAAACAAGTCTTTGGCAGGGAGAGGGCATTCTGGAGGGCTCTTTTATGGGCTATAACTCCTCTCAGCTTTCACTCTGAAGGACTAAACAATAATTTGTTGATTGTTTGCTGTGACAAAGAGGGGATATGATCCCACTAAGATGGGTAGTGGGCTGCAAATACAATGGTATTAAGAGTATTTGTGGAGAGTGAGTCTATAAAGCTCTCCTTTTGGCTGCCTTGTGTGTGACTGGCAGATGGCTTCAAACTGGAAGTCCTTACATCATACTCTGAAACTGGGAAGCAGCACTCAGGGACCAGTTGAAAATCAAATGACCAGCACTTTCATTTTTTTTGCCTTGGGACACAATGGCATTTGGGGAAGGACAGGACAGTTTTTTTGTAGAACTGTCCTGAGCATTGCAGCACATAAAGTTTGTCCTTGGCCCTTTTCCATAAAATGCCAGCAGCACTCTCCCCAGCCAAGAGAGCTACTGCCCACTCAGTTGAGGATCCATGGGCTACATCCCTGAGAGACTGACTGGTGAGGAGAGGCAGGAGCAGCCAGGTCTGTGTACTGAACAGCAAAGTAAAATGGGGAGATAATAGGGTTTGGTTTCCTTGACGAAATTAATTTTGATTTTAGGTGTCTTTGGGCACAACACACCTGGTAAGTGTATACAGAAACAGGGATACTACTTCAATGTTTCATTTGATTCTCATGGTAGTTCTACAAATTAAGTAAAAACATGACCCTCATAGGCAAGGAAGATGAGAAAACAGATAATGCAAATATAGTATGCAGTGGACTCTGAATCCTTAACTGTGATTGTAATCATAGCATTCTAACCTGTACCTCAAAGGCATCTAAGCCAGTTAGTACGTTCATCTGCCTCACCTGGTAATTCCTTAGGCTCCAACTCAATCCTGCTGAACCAGAAATTCAGGGGGTGAGCTCAGCAATCTGGGCTTTAACAAGCTGTAGGATATTAGATGCTCACTGACTTTGGAGTTGCTGAACTAGGGTGTTTGTAAAGAATGAGTCTTTGCCTTCTAACAGACTCTCCAAGTGATTCTTACTGGTGTGTTGTTTCCTGTGGCTACTGTAACAGCTACCTCAA